CCCCCAGATCTTTAGAGTCTTTATTTCATCAGACTTCAAAGAACTTGTGAATATATATGTGGCAAGGTATGAACCCAGACTATTTCTAGAGTTCTTATTATAATTTTGCTTCAAAGGCACCCAGAAAAACATACAGAAAAAAATTCCTTTTTTGACAATAGAACCCTTTGGACATGGCTTCGTGGTTAGGGTGCCAGCCACATGCACCGTGGCTGGTATGTTCAAACCTGGCCCAGGCCTGCTAAACAGCAATAACAACAACAACAAAAAAAAATAGGCATTGTGGCAGGCACCTGTAGTCCCAGCTACTTGGGAGACTGAAGCAAGAGAATCGCTTAAGCCCAACAGTTTGAGGTTGCTGTGAGCTGTGATGCCATAGCTCTCTACTGAGGTGACATAATAAGACTCTGTCTCAAAAAAAAAAACAACCTTTGGACATGATGAAAATGATGGAGGTGTGGGCTTAGATTTTTTTTAATGCACACATTTATAAATAGCAGAACCATAGGAGAAATAACTTAGTGTATATAATTAAATGCAACTTGTAGAATTAAATACAACTTACAGTATTTAAAATGAAATGCCACTGAAAGTGACCTTTGTTCTTGTTTCCTCTCATTATTCTCCTAAAAGGGGAGCCAGTCCAGTCATCTGGCTGTGTGCTTGCTTTCTCTCCCATCTAAGAATAGTGGCTACATAGACCAGATTGCCAGGGTCATTTCCATTTCAAAAACTCAGTCCACTTGCCCAAGAAGGATTGGGATAGTAAAGCACAGAATCTGGAGTCAGAGGACCTACATTCAGACAAATCTCAACATTGTCATTCCTGGTGATGTAAATGCAGTTACATAGTATCCCCATATTACAAATGATGAACTTGAGGAGCAGAGAAGTTAAATAATTTTCCCAAGATTATCCCTCATAAATGATGGAGCTAATGTTTGAACCAGTTATAAACCTGATATTCTTTCAAGAGAACTAGACAAGAACATTTTGAGGATGTACTTTATTTTGTCAAGAAGAAAGGTTTGTTCAATAACTATTTCATGGGCATTGGATCCAGATGTTAGGGACAGCAGTGAGAAAAATAGACCAAAAGTGTTTTTTCTTACAGAACTTACATAGAGTTGGAGAAGAGAACCAATATATTATGTCAGGAGGTGATATATTTATGAAGAAAAATTAAATAGTAGAGAGTAGTGGAAATAAGTTACTATTTCATATAAGGTGATCCTGGTAAGTTGACAGTTGAGGAAATTCCTGAAAGAAATCAGGGAGTGAGCTCTGCAGATATTTGGGGGAAGAATCTTCCAGGAAGAAGGAACAAAGCTCTGAAGCAAAGCTCTGGGAGCCTTGGCATGTCCCAGAAACCCAAGGAAGTCTGTGTGGCTAGAGAACAGTAAGCAAGGGGAAATGAAGAGATGAATTCAGAGACTTTGCCAGGGGAAGAGTCATATAGAATTTGGTGAACCTTAGTTAGGCTGTATTTCTTACTGTGAGCATTTAAAGGATTTTAAACCTAAGAGAGAAAATATGAATTGGCAAAGGTGGAAGCAAGAATACGAGGCTACGATAATATACCTGGTGAAAAAAAGGTAAGGATTGCCTAAATCATGGTCAGGCTAGTGGAGATGTAGAGAAATTGCTGAATTTTAGGTAGTTATTTGGAGGTAGAGTGACAAGATTTGCTGATGGGTTGGATTTGAGGTTGTGCAAAAGGGTAGGGTCCCCAAGATTTTTGGCCTTACCAATTCAAAGAATGACCTTGCCTTTTATTGCTCTGGAAAAAACTAGGGAAGAGACCTGTGGAAGGCACTGAATCAAGGAATCCACTTTAGTTTTAAAGCTGAGATTTAAAAGGCTGACGGTCTCAACAATAACTAAGAAAATGCCATAACCTACGTTAACCAGTTTTATGAAAACATTTCAAATTGTTTATAAAACCGGCACATTGTACCCCATGATTGTGTTAATGTACACAGCTATGATTTAATAAAGAATAAAATAAAATAAAAGGTTGTTGGTGGTTCACACCTGTAATCCTAGCACTCTGGGAGGCTGAAATAGGTGGGTTGCCTGAGTTTATAAGTTTGAAATCAGCCTGAGCAAGTGTGAGATCCTGTCCCTGGAAAAAAAAAAAGCTAGACATTGTGGCAGGACACCTTAGTCCCAGCTACTTAGGAGGCTGAGGCAAGAGAATCTCTAAGCCCAAGAGTTTGAGGTTGCTGTGAGCTGTGACACCATGGCACTCTACCAAGGGCAACAAAGTGAGACTTTGTCTCAAAAATAAATACATAAATAAAGCTGAAATGTACTGAGTGGGTGAGAGTGGGACATTCATAAGGATCTGAATTCAGTTTTATCCAAGTAGAAAATAGGAATATAGCATGGTACCATTGGAAGAATTTTCTGTCAGAGGACTGTCTAATAAGTCTGTGATCAAAAACAGAAATATAAAGCTCTGAAGCATGGGTATGAGATATTTCACTTAAGCTCTGGGAGAATGCAGGGTAATATGCCTGCTTTACCACAAAATACACAACCTCATAGTCATCTGATAGCTTATAGCTGTCAGATCTAGGATCTTTCTGAATGATGTTAAAACTTCATAGATTTAGCCTCTCTGAACCACATTGTTTTCAACTTTACTGAGGCATAATGGATATACCTCAAAATGCACATATTTGATGTATGTACATTTTGATGAGTTAGGATACACACACACACACACATATATACACACACACACTTGATACCATCACCACATGCAAGGTATTAAACATATCTATCACCTCCAAAAATTCCTGTATCAGAAACACTTTTTATTTTTATCCTGGTTACCTTCTTTCTGGTTATTCGTGTTTCTCTGCCTTTTGATAATTAAGTTTGATTGTCCCTCATATTCCTTTGAATTTTCCTCATTCCATAGCAAAATGCCTTGTACATTAAAAGCAATTCATAAGTATTTGTTAAAAGAATAATTGCCATTTTAATTGAGTCATTCAGAGACCAAAGAATCCTCTGAATTGTTTGGCTCTCAGTAAGTGTCTACAGCATCATAGTGACACACTACTTTGTATAACCTGTGTGTTTGTGATTAGGGGGTTCTCTGTGGGTTTGGGGGGGGTTGTCTTTTTTATACTTCTTTAGAACCATTGTAATTGCCTATGCAATTTTGAGACATATATCCTATGTGGTTAAATGACAAGACTTTTTAAATGAATTGTGTGTCATTTGGAGTAAAATCTCTTTTGAAAGTTAACCAAAAGTTTCAAATCCTGAACAACTGTCATTTTCTATTTTTTCTTTTTTCTTTTCTTTTTTTTTTTTTTTTTTGAGACAGTCTCACTTTGTTGCCCTTGGTAGAGTACCATGGCATCACAGCTCACAGCAACCTCAAACTCTTAAGCTCAAGTGATTCTCTTGTCTCAGCCTCCCAAGTAGTTGGAACAATAGGTGCCCGCCACAACACTCAGCGATTTTTAGAGGTGAGGTTTCCCTCTGGCTCAGGCAATCCACCCACCTTGACCTCCCAGAGTGCTAGGATTATAGGCATAAGCCACCATGCCCAGCCAACAATTTCATTCTCTGACATAAGATTCTGGTCGGGTGGGGTGGCTCATGCCTGTAATTGAGTACTCTAGGAGGCCAAGGCAGGAAGACCCCTTGACCACAGGAGTTCAAGAGCAGCCTGAACAGGAGTGAGACCCCTATCTGTATTAAAAAGAAAAAAATTAGTAGGGCATTGTGGTGGGGGCCTCTAGTGCCAGCTATTTGGGAGGCTAAGGCAGGAGGATTGCTTAAGTCCAGGAGTCTGAGGTTGCTGTGAGCTAGGATAATGCCACCTTACACTAGCCTGGGGCAACAGATTGAGACTTAGTCTCAAAAAAAAAA